TTTAGATAATGCAATGCTCGTTTCGAATGAAAGTTCGATCTCTAGATTTAAATATTAAAAAATTTAAAAATCTCGAGGCTTAAAGTGATCGCTTGATGATAGAATATAGGCACGATTGTTGTGGATAATTGACTTTTCGGTTTGGTTTCTCGTTCGTCCAACGAAAGAATTAACTTGGAAGAATTTCGCTTCGAAAGCAATAGAATACAATAAAAAGAATTGTTATTACAATGAAACTTACTAACTAATTTCAATAATATTCCAATATTTAGCCAATAAAATTACGATCGTACGAGCAATGCATGCTTCGCGATATTGGCTGAAACATCGAAATATCGTAATAAAATATCGAAATCATCTTAAATATATATCAAACAATTATACAAATACGTTTTATTATATATCAATGGTCGATCATAGTTAAAATAAGTTAATTCTTTCATCGATCCACAAGTACGAACATACACACGCACACACACGCACACACGTACACCAAACCTCTTGGAATCTTTCCTCGAGCTTCTCCGCACGTCCGTTTCTTTTCCATATTAGATTCATAAAGATTCGAACTACGAATTCCATAAGAAAAGTTTCGCGCAAAACTTCTTCGAAATTTTATCCATCGAGTAACATGGAAGCACTTCGCGATTCGCTTTAAAATTCAGCCGAAACGATCGAGCGCGAAAACAAAGGGATATGTAAGGAACTTTTAAACGTAACCCATTTACGCGATCCACCATCGTTTCCCTTAAACTTTCCACTCGTATACCTGCCCAACAAAATTTTCAAATCTCGCCCGCAAGCGTTCAATCGTGTCAAGTTCAAGAGAGAATCCAGAGAATATCGAGCCAACAACGAACACTCCCCCTGGCATAAATGGGTTCGTATCGATAAACACGTTATAAAATGCAAGAATAAATATTGTATTTTATCTGTTTGCCGTTTGAATTATATAAAGATATCGCGTCGTAAGGAAGGAAACGAGGGCCACCCTTCGCCGATTAAATTATATCGCACGTTTCTATAAACAAAGTCAATGTTCAAATCTCGATTAACAATTCCATGAAATTGTTTCTGAACGAAGAGAAACGCGCGTAATGTATCGTATCATGTTAAAATAAAGGATGAAAACGAGGATGAAATCGTCGGCGTCAGAGAACGTGGCGCGTTCTCGTGTGTGTCGATCGAACGAATTATTTCCATCGGCGCTTTCTGCCACCGAGATGTGATCGAGGCGCAGTATACGTGTCGCGTTTGTTCAAAAAAGTAGAAAAAGATAGAAAATGCCGCGAAGAAGAAGGGTCAGATTGTTGTTTGAAAAGTGGCAAGATCGAACGATGGTTAAAAAGATCCATCGATCGATCTTCGATCACGAAGGATTGGTTTCCATCATATTCCTTGAAAAAATTCGTGACCAATTATTATTTATTTCCATTCAATCATTTTCTTATATTTACCCCATATACCGATTATATCTTTGTAATTATCATTTCATATTTTTTGATGTATTATCTTTTTCTTTTTTTTTTTCTTTTTTTCTTTTTTTTTTTTTTTCTTAATTTTTCCTCCTCGAACGTTGGTTTGCCACGTTTTCAAAAAAAAAAAAAAAGCTCGAACAGAAGGAAGAACGAAAAGAGAAACACCGATCGAAACGGCGATTGTTCCAGCCGTAATCGTCGATAAATTCGTGGAGTGGAACGTTCGAATATTAGAATATATCATAATGATTATATCTTCTTCGATCGATTGGATCGTTTTTCTGTCGCAGGCGAAAAAAAAAGAAATGGGCGAAGCATTCAGGCAAAATGGTTAAAAATTTCGATCTACTCTCTCTCTCTCTTTCTCTCTCTCTCTCTCTCTCTCTCGCCCTTTCGCATCCTATTTCAAATTCTCCCTTCACATTCGCACATTCTCTTATTTTCTCTCACATTCTTTCACTCCCTCTTTCTCGCGTGTTTTCTATTATTATTTTTATTTTCACACACTCGCTCTTTTTTTCGCTATTTACAAACGTACTCTGTTGTCTTGTGTCTTATGTGTGTGTATGTGTGTGTGTATCTTTATGTAAGTGTCTCAGATGTAATATATTTCCTCGTTTAAATAATGTTCGTTATTATCTCCTCACGCTCCCTGTCCCCTATTATCTTGTTTTACCTAAAATAATTATTTTTAATTATTCACAGGCGATGACATATGGTTTTTCGGGATGAGTATTCACATCGTCGTACCGCCTCCCCCACTCTTTTCATTTTTATATTTTCATTGTTCGTCGATCTGTCTACAATTTCACAATTAATAACGTTTTTCTCTGATTTGTTCTTATTCTCTCTCATTCTCTCTCATTCTCTCTCACTCTCTCTCTCTCTCTCTCTCTCTCTCTCTCTCTCTCTCTCTCGCTCGCTCTCTCTCTCTAAAGCCATACGCGTTCTCTCCCTCTTTTTTTTTTTTTTTTTTCTCTCTCCTCGTATCACGTACACCGTCGAATTTTTTCGCGTTCTTCTTTATTTACATCCCTCGTAGCCAAATCGTTCCGACTTCGTTTCTTCTTTTCATGGATCACGTTGCTCTTCTTTCCTGGTGCGCAGCGGAGGACTTCCGGTGTTTCAAGAGCTGTTGAAGGGGTCTCACTGCGTCATCGGTGCGTGGTTTCTTCGAGGTATGAGGGTTCTTTGAATTATAAAGAGGGAGCTGGCCGGTACAGGGGATTGCCCCTGATGGGAAGCACGTGCGCCTCGGAGTTGAACACCCATTCGTCTAGATTTATGAGATCGTCGTCACTGAACAGCAGGTAGAGATACTGGAAGAGAAAAGAACAAAAATTTAGTAATTATTGATCATTTCTCCCAATTTAACTACTAACTAGGTTTTAACTATTATATATTTTTTTTTTATATAATTAATTCAGGAAATTTCTTTCTAAGAATTCGTAAAATTTTATTATGTAGAGTACTTCGTCTTAAAACTCGATTAAATCTTTAATTAAAACAAAGAAAAATTTAAACCGTTCTCTAACTTCGAAGATAATGATCCTTCATCAATGAATGAAAGATGATGATGACATACAGGGAACCTTTCTTTTTAAAATGCTTTTTCGTTTATTTCAATACGATTTCCGGTTCCGGAGATATCATCGTGTAAAACAAAGGGTTTCTGATTTTTAAACATTCACATTTAAGAAAACTTTGAATCGCTGTAACTCCGAAGATAATGACTTCCGGTTGACGAATGAGCGATCATTCGAAGCGTGGAACCTTCCCCTTTAAAACGCCTTTTCATTCACCCCGATACGACTTTTGGTTCTCGAGATATCATCGTGTAAAGCAAGAATGATTTTTAAACATTTACCTAAAATTTAATTAAACGGTATTAAAATTAGAAAAACTTTGAATCGCTATAACTCCGAAGATAATGACTTCCGGTCAACCAATGAGCGATCATTCGAAGCGCGGAACCTTCC